TAGTAATCTATACATATGGATAGAGTAGATCGAACTTGGTTAACTGGAATGTTAAAAGTATATACTGAAATGTGATAAAGAATTTCATTTAGAAAGTGAACGTTAAGTATAAGTAGGATTTTAGGATTAAAATCAAAGTCAATTTCTTCTAAAAATACAGTAAAGCAAACAATTAAGCTTAATATCAGCAAGTTAAATTTCAATCATATGATATACCAAATTCAAAACTTACGCGTTGAATTTTACAATTTCTATAATAAGATAGATGTTCTACATATCATAAGTGTTGAAGTACATTTATACACATTAGCAGTGACGTATCAAACAATAATAAATGTCATATCGGTAGAAATGTTTTGGTTACTTTATCATCAAACCATCGTTAGACTTATTTATTAACACGCCTACAATAAGTTTGTTTACAAAACATATACATATGCGGTTGGTTGTTTTGTCCATTATTGGTCAGTTATGTAGATGTTATAGAAGTCCATTACTGGCGCCTATTCACGCGCTGTTAATCTAATGTGTCGCACTATTGAATATAAATTGATCTAGAGGACTTAGTTTCGGACTGTTTAACGCAGAACTATTAAAGTATGAAATTCAGTCGGACTATTCTCCCCCTTCTCTTCATTGTTGGGATATTGTTCAGTTTGTTTTTACCATCAGAGGGTTGGTATAAATAATCAGTCTTTATACGAAGCCATTAGAGTCGAATTATAACATAAAATAAAGTAATTGATATTTTTCTCTTGAAAACTATTGCAAAATGAAATAGAGGACGAAGAATGGACAAAAAATATTCATTTTCATAATTCAAATTTAAATATAACTTAGTTTAGCTATTGCCGAGAACACAGTATAAATGGAACGAGGGCATAAGTATTCAAAACCATAATGTAAAGATGGAGAGAGAAAATATTTGTAAAATTCTGTTTTAAGGTCGACGAAGATGGTACGGAGGATCGCTAGGATATCGTGGTTATGGCGGCTTTGGTTACGGTCGTGGCTATGGTTACGGTGGTCGTAGAGGCTATGGTTACGGTGGTCGTGGTCGCTTTGGTTACGGTGGTCGTGGTCGTTATGGTTACGGTAGATATGGCCGTTATGGTTACGGGAGGCGACGTTACGGCTGAGGAAGTCATCCATTGATTTTCATTTATCTGGGTAACTGCTTAAATTAAAAAATCCTGCAAAAAATAGCGCAAAAATATTTCTTGCATAATGATATAATTTTTGACAATTATTTATGAACTTTAAATGATTGGTTACAATAACCGTTTTATTATACATGAAGATAAAAAATTAAATAATCTTATTCATATCAATTTACACTGTTCACTGCTTTATTTAGGTTCTGCTCCTTATAGGAACATGCCGTATCAGCATTCTTTTACTAGTATTCTTCTGTATTTTCATTTTGTCTTATGTATTACCACTGCTTCATTAAACAAGTAAAAAAAAACTTATTTTTGTCTCATTCAACATTTATTAATCACTAAATTATATAATTATGCACTTATTGGGCTGCTATATTTCCGAAACGTATAAGATTTTTTTCAAATGAAGGGAGCGGTTGAAAAAGGATTTATTCCAGTTTCTCTGAAGAATGATCGTAATACTAGCATATGGAGATAACAATCAGTATTCAAACCCCAAAGTTCATTAAACAATACATATTTGGAGAAGAGCAAATACGGACCCCCAAAGCATTAATCGTGGGATAAGGTGTCATGGAGGAGTGAACATCCCCTGCCGGTGTAACGACGAAAGGTGACCCCCGTAGAATATTGACCCGGGGTCATTTTTCTACGTAGAAATTTGACCCCCTGGTCAATATTCTATGTAGAAAAATGACCCACTTTTCTGTAGAAATTATGGCCTTGGGGTCGTTTTTCTCCGTGTGTATTGTAGAAAAATGACCCGTAGAATAATGACCCCTTGTCATTTTTTGATGCAAAAACTTTCGTTTTGAGAGGAATATTCTTGTTAGCGAATGTATACGTGTAATATCAAGCAGCCTTATGCTTTGAAGTGTTAATTTCTTGAAGCATTTAAGCTTACATAACGAAATAAAAGCTATACAATACCTTACATAAATGATACAAACCGCTTTATCCCCATTGAAGGAAAACAATATAGATCTACATGTATTAAAATGTTCTAAGGCTATTTAGGCAAAGATATGTGCGCATTCATACAATCATTTATTACATTTAATACAGTAAGTTTCCACAGTTGTCATTTTAATCTTTAAAGGGTCATTTTCTAGCTGGTGTCAGAAATTGTTTTTAAAAGTTTCCAGAGTTGATTAATTATGAATCTCTTTGATTTTACCCTGAATAAATGATTTGCAAAACTCAATTTTTCAAAAGTTTAACGTTATTGATTCCTACTTTTCAAATTGGCGCGAAAAAAGGGCGTTAGCTCAGAAAAATAGATCTTATAAAAATATTTGGTTTTCTATGAATGGAGTTTTAAACTTCTCATAATAAAAGGGATGATCGATTTAATTTGTAAAAATAAGTAAGAATTTAAATTGCCTCTGAACTATGATACATAGGAAACAAAAAGTGGTTAGCTTAAAACCTGAAAAATTCAAAAAGAAGTGCTTGTCTTTCCAAAATTGACACATGTAGTATCGTTTTCCCCGTTCTACATGTACATGACTTACATTTGTAAATGTGATGATATTAGGAGTTTTTTTTACCAGTAGAACATATGTAGAAAAAAGCAAAACAAATGTTGGATTATGAAAAAGTAGTTACTTTACTTATTATACTTATGCCCCGGTGAACAAAGTTTAGGGAAGGGGGGTATATAGTTTTTAGCCTGTCCGTCCGTCTGTCTGTTTGTTTATTTGTCTGCAGAAACTTGTACCTTGCCCATAACTTTAGACCGGGTGGGACTATGGCTTTCATATTTCAGTTGTATTTTTGTGACAAGACCTTTTTTGTGTACAACCAATTTTGACCTTTTGACCTTGACCTTGGAGTTTGACACACTTTTACACAAAAATTTCAAATTTTTACTTTGGCATTAATTTTTGGACGGTATTTGCTAGGACTTTAGATATCGAAGTAATGGCATGATAGACTAAGAGTTCATTTGTATTTGAGGGACGTTACAGCAACCATTTGTCAGTTGTCTGTGTTGAAAAGGAAAGTTTTTAGTTTTTTTTTTAATTTATAGATATCTCTAAAGGTTGAACGAATATTCACTCAGATGTAAGTTTTTGACAGTGTTGGAGGACTTTTTTTAATATCATTATAAGAACGTTCTCGATGTGCATGCATGGTATTTCCCGTATATACAAGTAAAAGTATAGTACCTTACATAAGAAAGTTAAAAAGTATGTACTTTAAAGCAGAATGCATACAAATATATATATGTGAGATTAAAGGCAAGAACTAAGGAAATTAAATTTATATAATTAAATTGAGTTGCTTTTCTTGCTTCTATGCTTTGTTTTGGGATTTGTATAAATTTTCAAAGTTTATGGTTATCAGAAACATATCATGCCATTTTCGGAACAGAACCTTTGAATAAAAAAAAAACAACCCCAAAATATAATAATATTCAATTATGCTCCTCAATGAAGAAGGATATGGAGATCACGAACTGTATTCAATATCAAAGTCCATAAAATCATCAGGAAATAGTGGGAAAATCCGTCCTCAATTCAGTGTGAAAATAATGGACTTACAAAAGTATGAAAAACGTCAGTCAGCATTTGACTCAATGATAAGTTGTATTTGCTGTCAAGGTCATTTTATCGACCATAGAACTTACGAAATGATGACTTTAAACGAGACTTCTGATATTCTTGTTTCATCAACTTGCTTGTCAATCATTTACCTCGTTTAAGAAATTGTTCATACGTAGAGCATGCTCTTGCGTATCGAATCAACTGAGATATATAAGCTCCGTATGCAGGTGATGAATGTATATTGGTGCATAAGTAAGGGAGGTTGACGACAGAAACTTTAAAGTCATCACGTTTATCATATAGCTTAGTTGTTAGATTACCATTAACGTCCTTGTCAAGTAAAATATCCAAGAATGGAACAGATGTGTCAGACTCTGTGGTATCTTTTATCTCAAGTTCACCAGGATATATCGTATCGACGTAGGAATGGAAATTACGATTGCTAATTGACGATACGTCGTCGATATACTAGTATCTAAATGTCGATTTGAAGGCCACAGCAAGTGTTTTCTTCTTTTCATGCATAAGATATTGCACAAATTCTGCTTCATAAGAATACAACAATAGGTCTGCTAATAACGGAGCGCAATTGGTGCCCATAGGATTTCCAATAGATTGTTGGAAGACCTGGTCTCCAAAAACCCACAAAGATATTGTTAATCAGAAATTCAAACATCTTCTTGATGTCAACTTCAGAGTACTTGAGTGTGCAATAAGATGTTTTAACAAAATAAATTTGAATATGACCAATGACCAGGTAAGTAAATTTACGAGTTCCATTTTTTTTTTTTGAAAAGGCACCTGTGAATGATATAATAAAAGCCTGCAATTTAATTTATCGTGGGAAATGGTTGCGTATAAACTTGAAAAGTCGTAAGTTTTTAAGCTGTTGATTTTGGACAAAAATCTTGTGATTTCAAATTTTCCAAAAGTTCTTTGGAATTTTTGAGCATTCACATCTGATTTACACCACTTCTTGAAAATATTGTTGCACAGTACTCTTGAAGTTTTTCATTGGATTTCTGCAAGCCAAAATAATCCATACCAGAATCATTGATTGTTATGCTACTATTAAGATGCAATCAAATATAAGTTGGAAAGGATTAAAGTTCATAAAAAATCCCCCTACTTACATTTGAAAGTATGAAAAAATATCCAGGAGACTCGGATATAAGGTTTTATAGTAAAAAAAAAAGTAGGGGGTCAAATTTCTATGGGGGTCATTTTTCAACGTGTGCTGAGTCGTAGAATTACTGGTCTGGAATGTTTTTCTACAGTCGAAAAATGACCCTACTTGTCGTAGAATATTGACCCGGAGTCATTTTTCTACGTAGAAAAATGACCCCCTGGTCCATATTCTACTGGGTCACTTTTCGTCGTTACACCGGCCGTTCAAGCCTGTCGCGTGCTCCCTTTAAACTGGAAGAAAGGGGAAATCAGTGTGCAAACAATGAGTTCGAAAAACGTCAGACAGCAATTTACTCAATGATCATGATACATGTGAATTGCACGATTTGCTAAAGTAACTGTATCAACTATTATAATAGAATTTACGAAATGACGACTTTAAACGAGACCACTGATATTCTTTTTTATCAACTTGTCAAAATTTATCTCATTATAGAATTTGTACATACACAGGAAAAATGTCCACATGTGTAAAACATGTGTTTGGTTTCACATGTGTTCAACACATGTTTTTCACATGTGATACACATGAGTAAACACATGTAAAATATGTGTTTCATTTATATGTAAAACATATAAAATATACACATGTAATACACCTGTGAGATAATATATATGTTAAACACATGTTTTTCACCAAATATGTATAACACGTATTATATATATGGAATATATGTATACAAAAATACAGATGAATTATACATGTTTAATTTATATAAAATATATATGTACTCATATACACATGTTATACACATGTTAAGTTTTATCTCATATGTGTGTGTACATTCATTCAAAAGAATTGTTAAATGTTAGTAAAATTTTACTCATGTAAAGTTTTACTTTGTTTATCCCCCCCCTTTCCCTCCTTTAAAAAAAACTTTTACAATTTTTTTTCTGTAATAATGCATTTATCAGACAAAATTGATAAAGAATGAATTCATTTTCTTTTCATTTTAAATCTTTTGGTCTTGGCTTACTTCTTGAATAAAATTAAAATAATTCCGTATTTTTCCGGCCAGCTTTCTCTTTTTTCGGATGAAAATGTACGTCATTTTTGACGTCACTGCTGCAGCAGACGTGCTGGGTGTATTGGAACTTAGGTAAGTGATCTCCAAACAATTTTTTAGAGACTTTTAATTCATATTGTTTAAATATCATTTCATTATAGTTACAGGTGCGTATGAACTTTCTATATACATGTAATACTCTTATCATTGTGACTTAAATTGTCATGCATTTCGTAAACCTATAACGATAGCGA